CTCGCTCTCTGACGGCTTTGAGGAAGAAGTGCTCTTTCATGCCGCGGTCTCTGTCGAGCTCCAGTGGATGTCATTGACCTACAAAAAGTGAAAGTCGTTGTGTGTCCGGTGCTTGCAGCTGAATGAAGCCATTTCATCAAGCACAACTATACTATAATGACTATGTGCTACATTTGAATTTGAATTTAGCCCCGCCCCTTCTGTAGCCCCGCCCCTGTTCAGCACCACACTCCTTGTCAAGTCAAGTCATCTTCATTTATATAGCGCTTTTAACAATGGAGATTGTTTCAAAGCAGCTGTACATAGATAAACATACAATTTACGGTAACAGAGATTGTTTTGGCTTTATAGCGATTTTGAATAATGTTATTTCCGGCTAAAGTTGGTTTTGATTGATTCACTTCCAGCAAAATGATCATTTGTTATTACATTAGGGGCCACTAAGACGACGGCGTTCTCTCTAAACAGACAGAAACCTTGTGTTCTGTCTTCCGGTTTGTATTTCCACAGCATGAAGGTAAAATCTTACAGATTTATGAATGAACCGCTTGTCTTCCCGATCTACTGACATTTGTGACATCCGCTTCAGACATTACAATGCTTAAATGATAACTTTCATTAACACTACATTAAGTAAATCCACTTAACCAGCTATTTACTCTTAGACCGCAATGGCATAGAAATATACAGAGCTACTAGCCTGGCTAACGTCTGGAAACCACATGTTCATTTTCTCGTATTTGAGGCGTGGTTTACGAATGCCCAGAGCCGTTTATTGGGTGCTACGAATGTCTATCAAATGTGCCTGTACGTAGCTCATAGCCAATCGTTTCAATTACACCAGATGACGTATGTAGAGCGACAGAAATTAGACGAGGAAGACGACGATGGGTCAGAGATTTATTTGCGTTCTAAACTATTTAGAACAATATCCAAGGCTGCATCGAAAGGTAACTTCGCGTCTGCTGCCATGTTTGATCCATTTAAACAAACTGCTTCGGTGTGTTGCACAGACATCATCATCGTCTTGCTGCTCCCGCCCCGTTCTGTGATTGGTCCCCTAGATGAGGCGAAAATTTGGTCCATGGTATCCTAATAAAATCACGCTGCGCAAAGGCAGTATGGGGAAACCCAGGCTTAAAATTAAAAAGATGTCTGTGCCCTTGTTTCTCTGGCGCATAAGGTCTGTGTAGTATGAATATGGGTACTGTAGTATGAATGAAATTCGTACGTACTACATCCGGCATGTTGTAACTATCACGTGACCTGCATCAGTTGTGTCGCTGCACTGTCATGCATTAATCCCCTTCCGTGGCCTCATAGGATAGTAAAGTGTCCATTGAATGTGCGCTTCAGAAATTTTGCCGGAAATAGTAGGTCATAAGGGTACTATTGCCTACTCTTTCACCAGTAGCTGGGAATTCAGACTTCTTTTGTCACATACTGTTTTTGATTACTATATAGTAGGGAAGCATGCAATTTTGGATCCGACATACTTGTTTGGCGTATTGTTTTTTTGCGTACTATATAGTAGGGAAGTGTTTGATTTCAAACGCAGCGCTAGTCTGAAGAAAATATGAGTGCTGCAAATGAGCTGCCACTATGCCAGGGTGATGAGGCTGGTTGTCAGGGCGTTGCTATGCAGTTGCTAGGGTGTTCTGTGTGGTTGCCAATGTGTTGCTAGGTTGTTGCTAGAATGTTCTGGATTGTTTCCAGGGTGTTGCTATGAGGTTGCTAGGGTGTTCTATGCGGTTGATAACACATTGCTGGGTAGTTGCGGATGGTTGCCAGGGTGTTGCTACGTGATTCCTAAAACTGTTTATGTAGTTGTTAGGCCATTTCTGTGCGATTGCTGGTATGTTTTTGATTAGGTGCTAAAATGTTCTGGATGGTTGCCAGGGTGTTTTATGCATTCGCTAAGATGTTCTGAGTGGTGTGTAGTGCGTTGCTATGTGGGTGTTCTGTGTGGTTGGTAGTGTGTTGCTGGGTAGGGGCTAAAATGTTCTGGATGGTTGCCAGGGTGTTTTATGCATTCGCTAAGATGTTCTGAGTGGTGTATAGTGCGTTGCTATGTGGGTGTTCTGTGTGGTTGGTTATGTGTTGCTGGGTGGTTTCTAGGGTGTTCTGGATGGTTGCCAGGGTGTTGCTATGCAGTTGCTAAGGTGTTGTATGTCATTTTTAGCACATTGCTGGGGTGTTGTGTGTGATTGCCAGGATGTTGCCATGGGCTTTCAGAGTGGAATCCAGTCTAGGATGTGTTTGCTAATGTCTTCTGGGTGGTTGTTATTTTATTGTGGCTGTTTACTAGAATGTTACTCTGTGGTTGCTAGGGTCTTCTAGAGGGTTGCCAAAGCATTGTTATGTGGTTTCTAATGTGTTGCTACTAAGGTGTACTGAATGGTTGCCAGGGTTCTGCTATATCATTGCATGTTTGCATGTGTTCCGGATGGTTGCCAGGGTGTTGCTATGTGGCTATCTAGGTGTTGCTCTGTAGTTTTTGCACCCCTGTATCTTTACATGGCACTAGTTTTTCCAGGAACTTATATTATTTGAGGTGCTAATGGTACTAACTGATGTGATCTCTATCCCTATATCTACATTTACATTTATTCATTTAGCAGATGCTTTTATCCAAAGCGACTTGCAATAGAGGAACATAAGCTATTCATCACAGAGCCAACAAAAGTCATAATGTACAATGCACATAGGAGGGATCTTCTGTCGTCCTCTACTCTACTATACAGTGCTCAGACACAGAATCAGTCGGAGCCGGTGTTGAAAAACAACCCAAGGGTTCGACTAACCTATTTATCTTCTTTCTATTTGTGTTCAATGCTGGGGCCTGAAGCTGCGGTCAAAGGAAGTGTCACTATAGTAAAATATCCTGGTGATTTAAGATGAAGAACACCTCAAAATAAGATTTATGGAGGTTTCGTGTTTTTATGGTTTTCTGTCATCATTTATCCACTCTCATGTCTTTTGAAATGTTGCATATTCAAGTCAAATGCATATACAAGCTGAGTGCATATACACCAAGTGAATGGTGACTTTCTGTTATTGATCATTCTGGAAATGGAAGACCCAGTCAAGTGCACTGCATTGTGGAATACCATAACCAGCACAATATATGCGAAGTATGCATACAGAAAATTTGCATACTGGGCAAAAGTGTGCAAGTGCATGCCAGAATAGTAGAGTAATATGTTAGTATACTATTGCAAATATAGCCTGAGGGTTTGCAGCACACGTCCTCAGACGCCTGCTTTGGTCTTCACTACATGTTTGAACACTGTCAGCTTTGAGCTCTTCTGCCCCCTAGTGCATACTGAAAGAGAGCTGTCAATCAAAACTACACTCCAGGGAGGAGGGAGGCGGGGTACTGTCATGCTGTCATGCTAGAAATTTCCACCATTACACAAAAAGTACGGAATATTATATCATGATCTGTGTCGGGATAAAAAGGTACATGTCCAATCACCTTGCATGTCCAAAAAACTGACATATTACTATTTTTTTGTTATTGTACAGAGACTGTATAATTTATATTATGATAGACTACACAGTACAGCACTAAACCGATTGTGATTTCACACTAGTGTTACGTTTATAGCCTTGACCTACATAGTCACACCTGGCCTCTATGACTACCGGTAGATACAAAAAGATCTTTATCTACTCGTGTACTAACTACCATTCAGTGATTTTAAAGCACTTCTTCGTGGAAACTTCTGAACTGAGAGACGATGCTGCCACCGTCTGGTGATTATATGTAGTTACAGTCATTCCACTGACACGTGCGTTTATAGTGCACACATATAACACTCACACATATAAATTAAATATATTACAATATAATAGTTGTGTTGTGATACAACAAATAAAACCCCATTCATAATCAAGACAAATACAGACACAATGTATAGAATAACCTACTCTGATGTATTGCACCAAAATAGCACTTTCCATGTGAAAACATTTTCCTCACATGTTTTGAAGATGAAATGTTATCTCATGTCATGTTCCTGTTGTGGTGTGTAATCATTCATGGTTTAGGTTATCTCTACTGGTTATCTTCATGTTGGCTGAACATGAAGAGATCATTATAAAAAAAATAGTTAGATGATGTTGTCTCTAATGACAGTCCCTTTAAAAGGTTTATGACAAAATACCATAGTGACTATACCTGTAAATTGATATGGGATCTTGTTTAAACAGCGTTCAAAAAACCTTTTCTTTTTATTACATACATAGTGATTTTATTGTTTCATAATAATGCAGTAGCCTATAGTTAAGATTGTCTTTTTTAGATTATCAGCAACCCAGAATAAAGCACACTATCAAAAAAATTCATGTACTATTCTTTGAGAACCATGTCAACCCCGTGAAATAGGATATAATGTCATATTATCATTGATATTTTATTATAAACAATACAGTAATCTGCTCTGTGTAGGCCTATTACTTACAAAAAAAGTAAAACAAATTTGGACATGTCCCGCATAGATTTAATGTTAATCATTCAGTAGCTTACTAAGCTATTTGTCAAAGTAATTATCCTTGTTTTTGCCAAAACGCCAAAGTTTAAGTAACAATTAATTCAGCTACATTTATGTAGGCTATAGGCTATATATAGTCAACATTTGGATCAAAACCTTTCATCAAAGTTATACATGAATTTTGAACAATAGCCGACCCATTCTTGTCTTAGGACAACTTTGATGAACTTTTTTTGATCCACTTGTAATGTTGACTTCTGTGTCTGTATGTAGGCTAGGCCTATATATAGGCCTATATAGCCTACTATATAATGTTTAATTCACATCAATAGTAGTACCTTGTAGTAGGCCTAATGTACCTGGCTTTGAACTATCTCAGGCTACGAGTCTCTGATGACATCACTGTACCACATCATCACTTCCCGCGGGTGGGCTCGGGCTTGAACGGATGCGCGGGTTCGATGACGTCATGGGCGCGGGCGCGCGCGGGGGCCGGGGGAAGTAAATGGATGGAGGAGATAAGACAGTTTCCTCCTCACACACCGGTTCAAGAGCACTCACAGCATCTCGGGTAAGTATCGTCTGAGTTTTTCACGTTTAAATCACATCGATCTCTGTAAGACTGTTCATGTAACTGTGACGCTTATTTCAGCCAGTTTTCCATGTGTTTTTTTATTATTATTGTGCAGGGTGTTGCTTAGTGCTTATCAAGTAACGGGTTTATTGGTAAATTGTGCATTGAAATAACGCAACTTTTAAATAAACATCTGGTTTGATGACAACATGGAAATTAACTTTTCATAGATGATATTATTATTGCTTATTTTATTTTACATTATTTTAAAACATTACGATTTTAACTTACATGTATAGTGTACACGCCCTCTAGTGTTTCATGACTGAACTAGATATTTGTATGATTTTTGCTCAATGTCCTGAAGCGTGTGGTGATTTATAGTGGATGTATGAAGTCAGTTCTCCTTAAGTTGTCCTCCTATAGGTGTAGTTCATCACATTAACATCAACATCATCCACTAACCACTAACAAACATGAAGTTTGAGGTTATTTCACTTGTACTGAAAATTATTGTTTTACTTATTTCTCCAAAAGCAGATGTTTTGCAGATTTACATTTCTTCAAAACATATTATGTGTTGTTGCAGAGCATGGAATAAAAAAGACTGAATTTTCACTTTTTTGGTGTGAAATATTCTTTTATTTTTAAACTTTTTTTCTTCCCGAAAAACAAATAACTTTTTTTTAATAACTCGACACCCTTGCCTCATGCTATACGCGGTTCTATGAATATGAGTTTGCACATGGTTTGTAAAAACACATTTTAAAAACACCACATAGACACAATTAACAACATTAAAAACTTGACTTTAAGAATATGAAGAATATTTTTAGCAGCAGTTAATGTTAGCTCACAAAAAAAAATGTAAAGGGAAAAATGCAAGGTTTCACTTTATTTGGATGGTCCCTTTAACACATTCAGTTGACTATAAGTAACATTGCACCTACATCTCTACTAACTCTCACTAGAGTGTTAGTAGAGTATTAGTAGCCTGGTAGGGTTTGGGTTAGAATAAGTTGACATGTAGTTGCAAAGTTACTTATAGTCAGTAGAATGTCTGTTGGAGGAGCATCACAATAAAGAGTTAGCAGATATTAAGCAGAAGGTCTACTAATACTCTAGTGAGAGTTAGTTGACATGTAGTTACAAAGTTAGTTATAGTCAACAAAATGTTCAAAAGAGACCATCAAAATAAAGTGTTACCAAATGCAAGTACAGTACAAATGAAAAGGACAGTATTTCATAAATTGTAAAAGACATTAGCTCCTAACTTGATCATCAAGGTAGGGGATTATATAATATCAAATAGAACTACTGTTAATTATCTTGGATGTGTTTTGGACAATGATTTAAGGGGTACAGGCATGGCTATGAAAATTTTAGGGAAAGTTAATGCTAGGACAAAATTTCTTGCTAGATGTGTTGGTTTTTTGGATAAGCAAAATTTAAAAAACTTGCATCATGTTTAGTATTATGTCATCTAGAGTACGCATGTATTTCGTTTTTGGCTGGTTAAGTTACAGAAATCTCAAAATAAATTGATACGGTTGGTTTTAGGTTTTAATAGTTTTACACATGTTGATAGACATCTTAAGTGGTTACCTATAGAGAGTAGAGTTGTGCACTTTAAATTAAAGATGGTACATAAGATAATTAATAAAAGAGCTCCTTCGTATCTTAATATGTGTATCTCTAGGGTAAGTGAGACACACTGTTATAATACTAGGCAGAGTTTAATGGACATTACATTATGTCGCTTTAGAACAATGTTTGGTCGAAGGTCTTTTGAATACTCAGGGGCCCAGGAATGGAATAAGCTGCCTCTAGATATAAAGAGTATGTCAAATACGGTTGGTTTTAGCACGAAAGTCAGAAGTTGGTTATTGGATAAGTTGTATTAGTGACTTATTTGTATTAATGTTTGGTGGATGTCTAATTATGATGTATGATGTATAGTTTGGTAATGTGTATTTTTATTGTAGTGTTGTAAATATACCAGTATGCAGTGCCATGATAATCTGTCTCTAGGAGTGAAGTTGTGCTTTACATCAAGGACCACAATGGAAATAAGTTTTTTTTTTAACTTTATTGTGTTATCCTTGACAAATGAGTGTATTTTTCACTACTAATTTGTCTAATAAATCAAATCAAACATTCCACAAAAATACAAAAAATTTGTACTTTTATTTCCTGATCTGTATGTTTGCTAAATGTCTATTTTTGTCTCTCTTTTAGAATCATTTGCTACATGTGGCCCACCGAATCCTATGTCTTGATCCATCAACAAATAAAAAATGGCATCAACAATGGAAGCAGCAGATATCGCTGTCGTTGCCATGTACTTCGTTCTTGTCCTGTGCTTTGGCTTTTTTGCGATGTGGAAGGCGAATCGAGGAACCGTGAGCGGATACTTCCTCGCCGGCCGTTCCATGAACTGGATGATGATCGGTGCATCGCTGTTCGTCAGTAACATCGGCAGCGAGCACTTCATCGGCCTCGCCGGCTCAGGAGCTGCTAGCGGTTTCGCCGTCGCCGCCTGGGAGTTTAATGCGATTTTACTCCTCCAGCTCCTGGGATGGGTCTTCATACCTGTCTACATCCACTCAGGTGTGTACACCATGCCGGAGTACCTCTCCAAAAGATTCGGTGGGAAGCGGCTAAAGGTTTTCTTCGCATGCCTAACTCTCCTCCTCTACATTTTCACCAAGCTCTCCGTGGATCTTTACTCCGGAGCGCTTTTCATCCAGGAGTCTCTAGGCTGGAACCTCTACGTGTCCGTAATCCTGCTTATCACCATGACGGCTCTTCTCACGGTCACTGGCGGACTAGCGGCGGTCATCTACACGGACACCCTGCAGGCATTCCTCATGATATCGGGCGCTTTGTGCCTGATGGGTATCAGCTTAGCTAAGGTTGGAGGTCTCGAGGGTTTGCGCACCAGATACATGAACGCCATTCCCAACATCACTGCCATCGAGCTAGACAGAAACCTCACCTACACAAATTCCTGCCATGTGCATCCCAAACTAGATTCGTTCAAGATCTTAAGAGGTCCTATGGACAAAGACTTGCCGTGGCCTGCTTTTCTTCTAGGCCAGACTCCAGCCTCGATCTGGTACTGGTGCGCCGATCAGGTCATAGTTCAGAGAGTCCTTGCAGCCCGTAATATTGCCCACGCTAAAGGGTCGACTTTGATGGCCGGCGTCCTAAAAGTCCTCCCGATGTTTATCATAGTGATTCCAGGGATGATCTCGCGTGTGCTTTTTGCTGACGAGCTTGCTTGCATTAGTCCAGAGCACTGCATGCAAGTCTGCAACAGCAAAGCTGGTTGCACAAACACCGCATATCCTCGTCTCGTCATGAACGTCATGCCCGTGGGATTACGAGGCTTGATGATGGCCGTGATGCTCGCCGCTCTCATGAGCGACCTAGACTCGATCTTTAACAGCGCCAGTACTATCTTTACCCTTGATATCTATAAGATGGTACGTCGTCAAGCTTCCTCCAAAGAGCTCATGATGGTGGGACGCCTGTTTGTGATCTTCATAGTGGCCGTTAGCATAGCTTGGGTCCCATTCGTCATCCAGTTGCAAGGTGGTCAGATGTTCCTCTACATTCAGGAGGTTTCTGATTATCTTACGCCACCCATTGCTGCACTTTTCCTGCTTGGCGTCCTCTGGAAACGTTGCAATGAAACCGGTGCATTCTGGGGTGGCGTTGTGGGCTTCTTACTTGGAGCCACAAGACTAATTCTTGCCTTTGTCTATAGAGAGCCGGACTGCGACACAACCGATAACCGTCCGTCCTTCATCAAGGATGTTCATTTCATGTATGTGGCGGCTGTGTTGTTTTGGGTTTCAGGGCTTGTGACGGTAGTCGTCAGTCTTTGCACAAATCCACCAAGCAAGGAACAAATTGCTACGACTACTTTGTGGGGACTACGCAACAGAAATCAACACACAAAAGAGAAGGGAGACGGTGGCAAACTTCATCAGCTTTCAGAAGAAACTAAAAAAGAGAAGACATCGGATGAAGTGGACGTGAAACCATACTCAGGCCCTGAAATACTTCCAAATGGCCACTTGGAGTCTCAACACACCCACAAACATGCAGGAAGAGTCCAGAGACGATGTGTGAAATGTTTGGATTGGTTCTGTGGTTTTAGTAAAAGCTCAGAGGAAGTGGATTCGCCTTCTGGAGATGAAATCAGGAGTGTAACTGAAATGCTCAAAGAACCTCCGAAAACCAAAATTGTCCTCAATCTCGGCCTCTTGTTAGTGTGTACACTTGGACTTTTCTTGTTTGTATACTTCTCTTTGTAATGCTCATGATTCTATCTAATGTACACCTCAAAATGTAATGTGATGATGCCAAATGTTACTGATACTCTTAAGCGCTGGTTACCAGAGCTCTGGTTACAGTGTTTGTTTTAGTATATTTAAACTCTAAACGTGTCAGACATTCACATTATGTTTAATTAGTACACTGACTGACAGAGCGATCACATTTATGTCATTGGATGTGACATTTGACAGGCAATTTTTTTTAAAATAAGAAACTTTGGTAAAACTCTGTCCTTGTTACACGTTACATGATGTAACTAACCCTAAACCAAACCCTAATCCTTACCCTATAGTAAGTACGTGTAGTTAATTAATATTACTCAGTACTTAAATGCATAATTACACTGTAACACTGACACCTTAAAGTCTCCCTGTAGTCAATAATTGTATCCCTTAAAACTCATCTTTGATCACCAAAATTTAAAGGTTTTGTCCTTGCAAAAAATTCTTTATGCCTTAAAATATCTTGATTGTAACTCGACCCCCTTGCCTCATTTAGTATACGCGGCTCTATGAATATGCAAATGAGCCCCGCCTCCACTCAGCTCAGAGATCCACTGGTCGACGATCACACGTTGATCTGATTGGTTACAAGGTCGTTTGTGACGTCAGAAACACCAGCGATTTCAAACCGTGTTTTTGGTTCACTGCAGTTTTAAGGAGAAAATACTCAGCAATGCTGTCCACTTATGAATTTACACATGATTTTTTATTGACTACAGACAATTATTGACTACAGGGAGACTTTAAGGTGTCAGTGTAATTATGCATTTAAGTACTGAGTAATTTTTTCTTAAAGCGTATTAAAAACACCACATAGACATATAAACAACATTAAAAGCTGGATTTTCACCACAAGGGGACTTTAAAACAAAGTGTAATCGAAACTTCTGAAGTTCAATTATGTCAAATGTAATGTTACCATTGAAGCTTTTTTTTTTGTGTGTGTAAAAAACATGTCACCTACACATTTGGTGCTGATAATACCAAAGCTGCTTGAATCATATGGTATTATCTTCTTACCCTCAAGGACTTTCCCAGGTTCGGTACAAGTTTACCTCAGTCGACAGCATTCGTGCGTTAAGTTGATTACTACAAAATACATTTTCCACTGTTTTCTCACTGTTAAAAAAATGGTTACATTGGGGCCAATCAATAAATGTTAAAATACTCGATGTTTCAATAGTTTAGCCACAAAACGTGCTTGTTAACACAAGTAAAGTACTGTAGAAATGATAACTTAAACAGCTCTCAGAAAAATACATGTGAACAGAATAATTAATGTGCCTTTTTTTGCTTTATCTTTCCACAAAACTTAATAAAAAAGGATAAGTCAAAATAATTTTGTTATGGTAAACAACATTCTCACAAATGCTGTTGATTGACTTTAACCCTATGAATTCCTTCAAGTTTTGCTTTTATTCTTGTCTTATTTTGTCTTTGTAACTTAGCAGATTACTCGTGTGAAAGCAGTGTGAACTGTTAGCTGGTCTCACCACGGAAACATCTCTGCTCACCGCTGACCCCATTAAAAACCCAGAGGATTTTTTCGTATTTGTTTGTCAACGCTTGTTTGTCATTCTTTAACCCCTTAACTGTCCCGCTTGGTGCTTTTTTATTGCCTTTTTCTTTCCATTATATGTTTTAGTAATCATCATTAATTAGATATCATTTGAAAGCTTAAAAACTCCAAATTGTTTGGAAATTGGACATTGCATTACAATGGAAACATTCCTTTAAATCCTTTTAGCAGGCTCCTCCCCCTAGTGGGCGGTATCATGTTTCATTTACTATTTTACAATCAAAACTTTCTAATCTTGACAAAACACATATCGTCGGAAAGGTCTGAGACTCCACATTTGGTGACTGTTTTGTGATAGAAGTGATATTGTGACAGAAATGTATTATTTTGTTAACGCATCAAATGAATTAAATGGAATATGGGTGTTAAAGCCGGTGGCTAGTTTTGGTATTACGCCTAAACAAAATCTCATAGGAACTTACATTTTTGTGGAATTAACTTTAAATTTGGAACACAACTTGGCTTTGATTTGAAAGAGTAAAAATGATTTTGTAAAATATATATATTTTTTTTAAATATAAAATGTTGGACACATTTTATTTTATGGTGTCCGTGATACAGAGTAAGTACTTAATTAATTACTTAGTAGTAGACGTTGTAATAACATGTAACATATGTAACATAAAATAAAGTGTATCAAGGTTGTACTTAAGTGCACTTCATGTGTATCTACATACACATGAAGTACACTTAAGTACAATCTTGATACACTTTATTTTACGTAGCTTATCCCTGTGTAACATTATGTAATTGCAATGTAATTAGGAAGCTACCGCATGTATTTAAGCTGTGAACTAGTGAGTTAATGTACATGTGTATAAGGTGTAGATACACATGAAGTGCACTTAAGTACAATCTTGATACACTCTATGTTATGTTACATACGTGTAACAGCCTACAGAAGGTACAGAATGACCATGTTTTTTCACACCTTAGTAACATATTTAAGTACTTGTTACATTGAGTAGTACAAAGTACTTTCTTATACAATTACATTGTACCAAGTCAGTAACGCGTATGTAACCGACTCGGCCTGATACATATGTGTAAAAGTAGATGCCTATTACATGTGTGTAATTACAATCTAAGTACAGGCTGTTCCATAACTTAGTTACATGTTAATTACATTTTGTTACATGTTATTACAACGTCTACTACTTAGTAATTAATTAAGTAATTACTCTGTATCACGGACACCGTAAAATAAAGTGTTACCAAAATGTTGCTACATTTATTTACATTTTCAATACATTTGTTTTACGTTCCTATTTTGAAGTGCTTTTACTTTAGCGATAATCTGCTGTCTTCTTTCAAAAAGAGACCAACCTTAGGTCTGTATACCAAAGCATTCATAAATCACAACCATTTCAGTTTGTATTTTCACGTCTAAGCTCAGAAAGTCGGGTGACGGTCACCGAAATCATGTGGGCTGATTAAAAACTCTTGTCCAAATAATTCAACATTCAAATATTGAACTATCCAACCATAAACATTTACCCTTGCTCAGTCCATGTTAGCAAAGTGACTGAAATAAAATCATTTCAGCGTCTCTCTGTCACTTCTATATTTGCTTGGCTGGTGTTCTACAAAGCTGCCTAGTTTTTAGCTGTACGATGTTGTGTATTTCTGTATTGAGGCCTTTGTGGTTTTTTTTTCTTTGAAACCTCACCTACGTAGATTTGTGGCCAGTTCCACTGAAGGACGAAAACCACTGGAAACAGCAGCCGATATAACTGCATATTTTCTCACCTGCATGAATCGAGACGGTGAAGAATCTTGGCGATGCGATGCTTAACATTTCCCTGCAGATTTGACCTCAGATTTCTCGTCTGCTCTAATTGTCTGGTGTAATTACTTCCCGTAAGTGACCTGACATGACATTTTCATGCCAACAGAGTTTGGTATCAAATGCCACATTGTTCTCCTGCACATAGAAAAAATAAAAAGTGAAAGCGGACTTGGGTTAGCTCTTTGGCTGAGAACATGTTAATTGTGGTTTAGATGTGTAAAGGTATGTGTGTGAATGTGTGTGTGTGTTTACAGGCAACTCTAATTTCCCAGAAGTAAAGAAGGATGTACAAATGAGAAACTAGTGCCAGTATTGGGAATTTGCATGCAAGAAACTATTATTTTAATTAGCCTTCATGACAATGCATTCCATGTTTTTATTGTTAGTATCATGTGGTAACATGTTTTTTTATAATGCCGTCTAGATTTGAACAAAGCGCTGTTGTTGGCTAACTTCAAACATGACTGTGTGGGGAAGTACAAACTTTGAGGCGTCTTACAGCCCCTCATACAGGTTTGGGACAACACAAGTGTGTGTATATGACGACATAATTTTCTGCCCTGCAGAGTTTAGTGCCAACCCTAATCAAACACACACCCGAACAAGCTAAATAAGCAAGCTGACAATCAGCTCTGCACACACAGGTGAACACACACACACACGGCAGCTGTGGCATTTACCAGTACTGGAATCGAACCACCAACCTTTGTGTTACCAGTCCGAGTCGCCAGGGCCGGCCCGAGGCATAAGCGAACTAAGCGGCTGCTTGGGGCCCCTTGGCCACCAGGGGGCCCCCCAATCGAGTCGAAAAATCGTAAAATATTTTTTTAGATGACTTAAACAAGTGACATAAATTAATGAATTAATATGAATGAATGAATGAATAATTAAAGACAAGAAAATTCAGATTTCATGATCAATATACCTCCCTACAACTGCTGCTATGTCTGCCAGCGTTTAAGTCATGCGCATAATCTAGACACCTCGCACATGCATAGACAATTCGTGCGCAACTGCGCGTAGTCGCGGACTCGCGGTAATGTTAAAGGAGAACTCCGGCGCAAAATGAACCTTTGTTCCTATTACGCATTGTTGTCAACCGTTCCCTGAGATTTGTTTTCACTATTATCGAATGTAAATAGTTTTATCTCTAAGAACAGTTTAGCCTATAAAGCTAGTATAACGCTAGTATATTGGGCATAGTGTAATGACAAATAAAAATCGCTTGTTAATACCACTAACACGGCTCAAAATAGCCCCACACTAACACGGTAGCATAATGAGGGTCCCTACCTTCAAACCGAAGCATTGAGAACTTTGTCAGTGTCCAGACAGTTTAATAAGAAGATATTTTTTACATACAGTCAACTTCGCGTATACAGGCAGAAGCCATCTTTGAAAAACAGTCTCTACCAGTCGATCTACGAACGCCGATCCAAGTGCGCTGGTGAGATGTGAACGAGCTATAAGTTGTGATAAGGTCACGGTGAGCGCGAATAGCAGGCTTGGATCGGCGTTCGTAGATCGACTGGTAGAGACTGTTTTTCAAAGATGGCTTCTGCCTGTATACGCGAAGTTGACTGTATGTAAAAAATATCTTCTTATTAAACTGTCTGGACACTGACAAAGTTCTCAATGCTTCGGTTTGAAGGTAGGGACCCTCATTATGCTACC